ATGTCCCAGAATTCCCGGCACCGCTCACCTCTCCTGTCAGCAGCTCGATGATATTCTGGGTGACTTCTAGAATCTTCTCTTCATTGTTCCTCTCAGATGTCATGGAGGGAGGTGGAAGATCCATGGAGGGACTTCTACTTCCTTCTCCAGATACAGGTGGATACATTCCTTGTAAGAGACCCTCAATGGACACCATCTTCACCACCGCACATTTCTACATAGGAGTGAATACAAAAGAAACATCATGAGTGATGTCATGTGACCTCCCAGAATCCTCCTCACCTCTCCGGTCAGGTCTGTGTTTTATGAATAGAGATAAGAGTGATGTCATGTGACCTCCCAGAATCCTCCTCACCTCTCCGGTCAGGTCTGTGTTTTATTAATAGAGATAAGAGTGATGTCATGTGACCTCCCAGAATCCTCCTCACCTCTCTGGTCAGGTCTGTGTTTTATAAATAGAGATAAGAGTGATGTCATGTGACCTCCCAGAATCCTCCTCACCTCTCCAGTCAGGTCTGTGTTTTGTTAATAGAGATCAGAGTGATGTCATGTGACCTCCCAGAATCCTCCTCACCTCTCTGGTCAGGTCTGTGTCTTATTAATAGAGATAAGAGTGATGTCATGTGACCTCCCAGAATCCTCCTCACCTCTCCCGTCAGCAGGTAGATGATCTCCAGGGTGAGCTGTAATATCCTCTCGGTTGTGCGACTCTTCTCCTTCTCCATTCTTGGCAGATCCTTCACCTCATATAAGACTTCCTGCACCGTACAGCTAAAAACAAATACACAAAGTATTACAATACAAACACTGAGCAATGAATACTACCAGTCTGCATACTGACGTCCATGTTCCCTGCTATCGGTTAGAGAGGAGTCCCGGAGTGGAGACTTTACACCCTTATGGAGGAGCATGTTGACTTAGACATTTCCTACAAGGGTTCCGGGTTCCCTGGATAAAGGGGGTTCTATAAAAGAGATCTGATGTATCCTAAAATATTTTATAAGCAACAGAAATGCATCAATGAAAAGGGGAAGTCTACAAGGGCAATAAGTAGGGCAGCAGCAGAAGATCTGGTGACCCCAAGGTCTAGAGAGACCCTAGAGGGAGGGTGCAGAAAATCCAGAGTCTCAGAGTGGCCTCCGAGTGTCTTTAGACTATGTCTGCCTGGCCTTGAAAAGTTCCCCTGGAGTGATCTCAGGTGAGGCTTAGTCATTAAATCAAGCGTGACATAAAGTGGATGCGTTAAGCTCAATGGCCTCTCTCTACTCCCGGTTGCTGGGGTCCATTGGCGACGATCTGTCCTTTATTGGTGCCTTCATTAACTGGTCCCGGACACCTGGTATCACATGCGTCGTAAACTCATCACACCCGACAAATGTATTTATCACACTGGACACCATAAAAGATATTGTGTGATCCATAACCTCAACCCAACCCCTAACGTTCACCCCCAATCCCAAAGCAACCCCTAACGTTCACCCTCAATGCCAACGCTTACCCTCAGGCATACAGAAAACTGAATACTTTCCTAACACGGGTGCACCGGCAGAAAAAACACTATCACGGCGGGATGGCGTGTAATAAAAACATTGGCGAGCACTTGCGCCACAGCAAAATGAAATGATCCACTCTGCAAGCGTCCCCCTGTACCTGTTATATGGCCACATAATATATACAAGTATACAGAGAATTATTCTTAAAGAAGGCATAAAATGCCATTGTATGACACTACCTGCTCTCACCCTTAGTCCTAGGAGCAGAAGAAAATGCCCCTTTTTCGGCTGTCTACTGCTTTTGTCTGCACAGGATGTTGCCAATAAAGCTCCTTTTGTTTGCGTTCCACCGTAACTTCCTCGGTGTGCGTTCCAAACCTCTCGTAAATGTACTTCTGCCTGGCTCCTCTGAATTCTACTATTGCTGTTTTAGAATCATGGCTGCGTGCGTAAAAGTTTCGTTCTGATCGGCGTGGGCGCGACAGAGAAAGGAAGGCCATAGAAAGTCAGGGTGCACAGGCGGCCCCTCCTGCAGCGTTCACACATGGCCACCAGATGGCGAGCGTGTGAATTACAGTGTGGAACGCACAACCCGAAAGTCAGAGACCACGCAGAGGGAGGCGTGAAACGCACAACCCGGAAGTGTGCTGGAACGTAGCAGAAAAGAAGAGGAAGGGACTAAAAAAAAAAAAAAAACAGGAATAGGTGGAATACATTTAGGAGTCGCTGGTTGAAGACTGGACAGCCTGGAGCTCTCTATGATCATTTTACGGAGATTTGATGGCATTTAAATCAAAATGACACATTTATAAAATATATTAGGGCATGGTGATTGTATCCTTGGAATATTACTGCATGAGCCGTCCTGATACAAAGGTCTGAGCGTACGGAGAGTGACACTCGCTGAGGATGGAGACGGACCGGGGTCACGTGACCGAGATACTAGACCTCACCCTGGAGATCATCCGCCTGCTGACCGGAGAGGTGAGGAGGATTCTGGGAGGTCACATGGCATCACTGTTATCTCTATTCATAAAACACAGACCTGACCGGAGAGGTGAGGAGGATTCTGGGAGGTCACATGACATCACTCTTACCTCTATTAATAAAACAGACCTGACCGGAGAGCTGAGGAGGATTCTGGGTGGTCACATGACATCACTCTTATCCTCTATTAATAAAACACAGACCTGACCGGAGAGGTGAGGAGGATTCTGGGAGGTCACATGACATCACTCTTATCCTCTATTAATAAAACACAGACCTGACCAGGGAGGTGAGGAGGATTCTGGGCGGTCACATGACATCACACTTATCCTCTATTAATAAAACACAGACCTGACCGGAGAGGTGAGGAGGATTCTGGGAGGTCACATGACATCACTCTTATCCCTATTAATAAAACACGGACCTTACCGGGGAGGTGAGGAGGATTCTGGGAGGTCACATGACATCACTCTTATCCCTATTAATAAAACACGGACCTTACCGGGGAGGTGAGGAGGATTCTGGGAGGTCACATGACATCACTCTTATCCCTATTAATAAAACACGGACCTTACCGGGGAGGTGAGGAGGATTCTGGGAGGTCACATGACATCACTCTTATCCCTATTAATAAAACACGGACCTTACCGGGGAGGTGAGGAGGATTCTGGGAGGTCACATGACATCACTCTTATCCCTATTAATAAAACACGGACCTTACCGGGGAGGTGAGGAGGATTCTGGGAGGTCACATGACATCACTCTTATCCCTATTAATAAAACACGGACCTTACCGGGGAGGTGAGGAGGATTCTGGGAGGTCACATGACATCACTCTTATCCCTATTAATAAAACACGGACCTTACCGGGGAGGTGAGGAGGATTCTGGGAGGTCACATGACATCACTCTTATCCCTATTAATAAAACACGGACCTTACCGGGGAGGTGAGGAGGATTCTGGGAGGTCACATGACATCACTCTTATCCCTATTAATAAAACACGGACCTTACCGGGGAGGTGAGGAGGATTCTGGGAGGTCACATGACATCACTCTTATCCCTATTAATAAAACACGGACCTTACCGGGGAGGTGAGGAGGATTCTGGGAGGTCACATGACATCAGTCTTCTGTTTCTTTTGTATTCACTCCTATGTAGAAATATGCGATGGTCAAGATGGTGTCCATTGAGGGTCTCCTACAAGGAATGTATCCACATGTGTCGGGAGGAAGACGTAGAAGTCCCTCCATGTTTTCTTCACCTCCCTCCATGATATCTAAGAGGAACAACGACAAGAAGATCCTGGAAGTCACCCAGAAGATCATTGAGCTGCTGACAGGAGAGGTGAGCGGTGCCGGGAATTCTGGGACATGATCCAGGAACAGACAAGGGATGTGTCTGGGTGGTGACTGTATCATTGTGTGTGTCAGGTTCCTATAAGGCGTCACTGTATCCTCCTTCCTCTTTGTAGGTGTTCTTAGATGATTGTCCATCCTTCCAGAAGAACATTGTGATGGAGAATCCCCAATTCAGCTCTCCGGGTTGGTTTTATTCTTTAATATTCTACGTTAGTATTGTCGGGATGTAGGAGGTTGATGGCTTTAATGTCCTTCTATCTCCTGAGACCCACCCAGGCCCTTCTACTGCGTAGGGCAGGGGTAACCAAACTCCGGCCCTCCAGCTGTGGTGAAACTACAAATCCCATGATGCATCTCTCTCCAAGAGTCATCTCTGTGGCTGTGAGAATCTTGCAATGCCTCGTGGGATTTGTAGTTCCACCACAGCTGGAGGGGCTGAGTTAGGCTACCCCTGGTGTAGGGCAAGTATAACCAAACCTGTAACCAAAACGCTTTTGTGTCTGGCAGATTTCTCCAAAGGGTCCGAGGTGGTGCAGATGGGCAGGACAATAAAGGAGGAATGGGACTCTTGTGAGGAAGAAACCACGTTGGGCGGAGGTGTCAGTACGCAGACGGAGGCTGAAGTGATCAGAATTAAGGAGGTATCGGACTCCAGGGAGGAGGACGTTTTGGACGGTGACTCTTGGAGCTGCAGAGCGTCGCCCCCAACGGCGCAGATTGAGCAGGACGACCCTCAGAACAACCTCATCATCTGTGAGGACCAGAGACAAACGCTGTTGACTTCTATTAAGGAGGAGACGGACGAAGATGACCCCGAGGAAAGCTATACAACGTTCCGCATCAAAGATGAAATGTTTTTGAGCAGTGGGGTGGAGCCCTTGGAACAAAGCACGCAGATGGGCTTAACGTTTCCTCAAGATTGGGGCATCCATGAAGAAATTGGGGCTTCCTACATACCGCATGTGGGTGGGAGTACAGGGGCTCCATCCCAGCCGTCTTCTCAAAGCTCAGTGACCAAGGTCTACAACTGTGACGGGTGCGAGAAAAGCTTCACCAGCAGCTGTGACTTCCTCAAGCACCAGCTGATGTACCAAGGGCCTCATTTCCTGTCCTGCGCGGAGTGCGGCAAGTGCTTCGGCACGGAGGAGCAGCTGGCGAAGCACCAGCGGGTCCACACGCGGCCGAAGCCGCACAGCTGCTCCGAGTGCGAGAAGTCCTTCCCTCTGAAGCAACTGCTTGTCATACACCAACGCAGCCACACGGGGGAAAAGCCGTACGCCTGTACGGACTGCGGCAAGTGTTTCTCCCAGCGCTCCTCGCTGGGGAAACACCTGCGGTCCCACTCCGGAGAGAAGCCGTACCCGTGCCCCGTGTGCGGGAAGAGATTCGGCAGCAGGCCCACCCTCATAATCCACCACCAGAGCCATACGGACGAGAAGCCCTTCGCGTGCTCGGAATGCGGGAGCAGCTTCCACCAGAAGATCGCGCTCATAAAGCACCAGCGCATTCACACGGGAGAGAGGCCGTACTCCTGCAACGAGTGCGGGAGTCGCTTCACCCAGAAGCACTCTCTGTCCATGCACAAACGGACCCATTCTGGCGAGAAGCCCTTCGAGTGCACGGAGTGCGGCAGGCGCTTCTCCCGTAACTCGCTCCTCATCGTTCACCAGAGGATCCATTCCGGGGAGAAGCCGTACTCGTGCGCGGAGTGCGGCAAATCTTTCCGCCATAAGTCAGTGCTGAGCAACCACCAGCTGACTCATACCAGGGAGCGGTCTTTTCCTTGCCCGGAGTGTGGGAAGTGTTTTAACCGCAGCTGCTACCTCATTCTACACCAAAGAGTCCACCAAAGAGCCCATCTGTCGAACAGTTCGCTCACCAATGAGGAGAACCCAATGCAACACGGTTATAACACGATTCACCAATGAACTGTGCACTCACCTTGATCTCCACATTGGCTGATGGCGATTGCATACAAGGTTATCACACACCAGAAGGTAGCGGAGGCTGAGAGTACGTTGTGCCGGAAGGTCAAAAGTGATCCAGTGTAGGGAGAGAGATTGCTTTCGGCATAAACCAATAAAAATATAGAACAATAAGTGTTGTGCTTATATTTATTATTCTTGCGCACCAGTGCACAAAGCAAGGTCCATAAAGACATGGATGGGGGATTTTGGGGGGGAGGAACTTGACTGGCCGGCACAGAGTCCTGACCTCAACCCTATAGAACACCTTTTGGATGAATTAGAGCGGAGACTGCGAGCCCGGCCTTCTCCCCCAACATCAGTGCCTGACCTCACAAATGGTCCAACATTCCCATAGACACACTCCTAAACCTTGTGGACGCCTTCCCAGAAGAGTTGAAGCTGTTATAGCTGCAAAGGGCGGAGCCAACTCAATACTGAACCCTACGGACTAAGACTGGGATGCCATTAAAGTTCATGTGCGTGTAAAGGCGTCCCAATACTTTTGGTTATATAGTGTATCTGACATAGTCCCTATCCTAGACAAGAGTCCTAATGGCATCAAATCAAACTAATACTTGACCATCCATGGGCCTTTAAGACTTCAAATTAGACCCAAAAATGCTTTTAAATGAGTCATCAGGTCTGCTCAGGAATACTAGCTGAGACGTAGATCTCTAGGGCTAAGGACTGCAGGTCTCTGATTGCTATGGAAATGATATCCTTGCCCCTCCTCAACACCCCTTCACTCCCTCCCGTCTCTTCCTATCCATCACTGGATGGGTCCCTGATCAGGATCCCTGGTTGCTAGGTAAATTACATCCTTGCCTATATATAAATTCTTGAGCTGGAGGTTGCCCTTTTCTGTTTCGGTGCAATGAAGTTCCTGGGTGCCAAGAGAGGATCATACAGAACTCTGAGATGGGAGTGCAACTGGCCTTTGCAGCACAGATTCCCAACCTGAGCCCAACTGAACACCTGTGATATAATCTGGAACACCAACATCAAGCCAAGTTCAAAAAATAAGGAGAGGAGAGGGGGCTTTTTAGGTAACAAGGGACAAAGGCCAAAAGTGACCACATGATAAAACAAGAGTATTTTATTATACAAAGTTTAAAAACATATTTGATACGCGCACATTACAAAACAGAAAAACAGATTGATCTCCAAATAACCATTCCAGGGTTATAATGTGAGGCTAGATGGCCATCGTATACAGATGCCTCTTCTTATCGCAGGAAGGGTGATTCTCTCGACGCGTTTCGCGCTCCAAGCGCTTCCTCAGGAGATCGCTCCCAGAGGGTAATCGGTGCGCGCCCGGGCCCGACCAGCAGAGCAAGGGCCCCCAGCATGCCCAAGGACAGAGAGGACCTTCCCAAAAGATGGTGGGGAGAGTGTGACAAGCAGACAACCATCAAAAGCGGAAGGTGATCAAAAGAGACCCCAAACCTGGGGAGCCACAAAGAGCACAGTCTGCAATCGCCTCCGAGCCGCCAATGTCCATGGGATCGCAGCTCGACGGCCGCTTCTGCAGTACGCGGATTACTGTCTGGGAGCGATCTCCTGAGGAAGTGCTTGGCGCGCGAAACGCGTTCGAGAGAATCACCCTTCCTGCTATAAGAAGAGGCATCTGTATACGGGAACATGTTATATCAATTCTGTTTGTCATGGCCGTCCAGCCTCACATTATAACCCTGGAATGGTTATTTGGAGATCAATCTGTTTTTCTGTTTCGTAATGTGCGCGTATCAATTATGTTTCTAAACATCTTGTAAACTTTGTATTATAGAATGCTCTTTGTTTTATCATGTGTTCATTTTTGGCCGTGGTACCTAAAAAAGCCCCGCCTCCTCTCCTTTATTTTTTGTCTTGATACATTAGGGGTATGGTACCTTTTTATTCAGAACCCGGTCACACTTATTTTGACCTAACTTGTTATTGGTGGTCAACATCAAGCCAAGCCTCATCGCTCAACCCCACTGCCTGGACCCACTCGTGCTCTTGTGGCCTGAATATGTAGGACATAAAAATGTTGAGAGGTAGAAGACATTGGAGCGAAGGAGAGGAGAAGAAAAGTGGAGGGAAGGAGAGGAGAAGAGAAAATGAATAACTGGAAAGGTTCCTCTAGGGAGGAACTCATCCCCTCCTCCGTAAAAGCCAGTTAAAGTCCTTTATTATTATTATTATTATTATTATTACATAGTATTTATATAGCGCCCACAGTTTGCGCAGCTCTTTACAATATAAGGAAGACATCACAATACAATTCAAGACAAGATGGTAAGGAGGGCCCTGCCCCTGAGGGCTTACAATCTAAGAGGGGAGGGGGAAATGATATATGAGGAGGTAGTTGTGGGAATGAATTATGTGAGAATGTGAAGGTTCAGTGGTTAGGTTGAGGTGGGATAGGCTTCCCTGAAGAGATGAGTCTTTAGGGAACGCCTAAAGGCAGTCAAGGTGGGAGATAGACGGACAGGTTGGGGTAAGGAGTTCCAGAGGATGGGAGAGACTCTAGAGAAGTCCTGGAGGCGAGTATGGGAGGAGTGGACAAGGGAGCTGGAAAGCAGGATGTCAATGGATGAGCGGAGGGGACCTTTAGAGTGATATTTTGAGACAAGGTCTGAGATATAGCCGGGGGCAGAGTTGTGGACGGCTTTATAGGTGACTGTTAATATTTTGAATTTTATCCTCTGGGCGAGTGGAAGCCAGTGCAGGGATTGGCAGAGGGGGGATGCAGACACTGAGCGGTTGGTAAGGTGAATGAGTCTGGCAGCTGCATTCAAACTGCTCTCCGAGAGCCTCATAGATCAAAAATAACTCAGGTTACAGCAATATTTGGGTCTCCGAAAGAGTTATACAGGTCATGGATGACATAGTGTTGGCCAATAAGGTGGCACAAGAGGTTTAATGTTAAAGGAGAACTATGAGATGAGTGATTTCCACTCACCTCATAGTTCAAAGCCGACCTGTGACAATGAGACTGTCACAGGTTGGCTCAGTAGATCGGGAGGTGAGCGAACACATACCGGGTTCCCTCACCTCTCGATCCTGTCACAGCTCTCTGCCGTGACAGGGGAGGGGCTGGATTCCCCTCTCCCCGCTCCGATCAGACAGCGCTGACTGGCGGAACGGACGGGGGAGGGGGAGGGTACAGCTGGCTCTGCCTCTAGATAGGCAGAGCCAGCTGTCACTCACGCAGCTGGGCGGATCCCGTCATCTACGTCGGGATCCGCTCCAGGTGCGGCGTCTCAGTATACCGGGAGCTGTAGCTCGCGGTATACTGAGCATAGGGTAACGGGAGGACGCTAGTTTGTGTCCGCCCGTTACCCCAAGGAGAACTATGGGGAAAAACACTGACCCCATAGTTCTCCTTTAATAAAGGTAAGGTTATGCAGTCCTGGGGGAGTATAGCTGGAGGAGTCGAATGTTGAAGGACCTGGATGTTCTGATGGATCATAGACCATGCCAAGCTGCAGTTTCTAGGGTGATCAAGAGGTATGGACTCCAGAGAAACATAATCTGCCCCAGTGTGAAGCATTAGTAAGACCTTTTATGGAATATGCAGATCAGTTATGGGCTCACCAGAAGGATGTCAGGGAACTGGAGAAGGTGCTGAGATAGACAACTCAACTGATAAGATGCATGGAGGAGCTCAGCTATGAGGAAAGATGACCTATACTGAACTTATTCCACTTTGAGAAGAGGCGACTAAGTGGAGATAAGATCACCATGTACAAATACATACTGTAAATGGTCCATAGCATACTAGGAGCAAAGTTATTCACTTTAAGGTCATTGCCAAGGACAAAGAGGGGGCTTTTTATGTCTGGAGGAGAAGAAGATGGACCTCCACATACCAAAAAGCATCTTCCTGTTAAGGAAAAGACTTCATCAGGAGCTAGTTCTAGCTAAGTCAGCTGGATGTGTTCCTAAGTGCACAGAATGTAACCAGCCACTCAAATTTGTGTATTTCTTTTTCTTTTTCCACGTATGTATAAAACTAATTACCAGGGATTGTTTACTGTAAGGCCCAGTTTATTGTAAATCCTTTAGAATACATTCCTAAAAAAAAAAAAATTGGAGCCTGTAATATTATGGCTTAACTGCAATTCTCGAACATGGACACCAGAGGGCGAGAAAGTAACCATTAGAAATCATTAGAGTGACTATCTAGCATGCAGTTCGCCATATCTACCACTAGATGGCGGCGACGAGAAATAAACTAATACAGGTGGAACGCACGACCCGGAAGCCTCTAAAAGGCGGTGGAACGCATAAACCCGGAAGTGCAGTGGAACGAACAAAAGTCAGAGTCCAAAGCGGAAGTGCTGGAGCTACAGTCCTCCTGTAAGTGTGTATTATAGATTGGAAAGCCTGATGCTGTTTATTTCCTATTCAGAGCTGTTAAATGTAACTTTATATCAATGTTTCCTTTATATAATACAATGAAGAGGTTTCTTTTCTTATTATCTCTCATAATGACTGTCCTGATGGGGAAAAATCAGGTGTTTGTCTAGAAATTTCAGCAGATTGGTCCCTGGAAATGTCGAGACGCAGAGAGAGCTCCATGATGGTTCCCATTACGATGGAGGAAGACCAGAGTCACATGACTGGGAGGATACTAGACCTCACCCTGGAGATCATCCGCCTGCTAACCGGAGAGGTGAGGAGGATTCTGGGCGATCACATGACATCACTCTTATCTCTATTAATAAAACACAGACCTGACCGGAGAGGTGAGGAGGATTCTGGGAGGTCACATGACATCACTCCTATCTCTTATTAATAAAACACAGACCTGACAGGAGAGGTGAGGAGGATTCTGGGAGGTCACATGACATCACTCCTATCTCTATTAATAAATTAGAGACCTGACCGGAGAGGTGAGGAGGATTCTGGGAGGTCACATGACATCACTCTTATCTCTATTAATAAAACACAGACCTGACCGGAGAGGTGAGGAGGATTCTGGGAGGTCACATGACATCACTCCTATCTCTTATTAATAAAACACAGACCTGACAGGAGAGGTGAGGAGGATTCTGGGAGGTCACATGACATCACTCCTATCTCTTATTAATAAAACACAGACCTGACAGGAGAGGTGAGGAGGATTCTGGGAGGTCACGTGACATCACTCCTATCTCTATTAATAAATTAGAGACCTGACCGGAGAGGTGAGGAGGATTCTGGGAGGTCACATGACATCACTCTTATCTCTATTAATAAAACACAGACCTGACCGGAGAGGTGAGGAGGATTCTGGGAGGTCACATGACATCACTCTAATCTCTATTAATAAGACACTGACCTGACCGGAGAGGTGAGGAGGATTCTGGGAGGTCACATGACATCACTCTTATCTCTATTAGTAAGAGACAGCCCTGACCGGAGAGATGAGGAGGATTCTGGGAGGGCACATGACATCACTCTTATCTCTATTAGTAAGAGACAGCCCTGACCGGAGAGATGAGGAGGATTCTGGGAGGGCACATGACATCACTCTTATCTCTATTAGTAAGAGACAGCCCTGACCGGAGAGATGAGGAGGATTCTGGGAGGGCACATGACATCACTCTTATCTCTATTAGTAAGAGACAGCCCTGACCGGAGAGATGAGGAGGATTCTGGGAGGGCACATGACATCACTCTTATCTCTATTAGTAAGAGACAGCCCTGACCGGAGAGATGAGGAGGATTCTGGGAGGGCACATGACATCACTCTTATCTCTATTAGTAAGAGACAGCCCTGACCGGAGAGATGAGGAGGATTCTGGGAGGGCACATGACATCACTCTTATCTCTATTAGTAAGAGACAGCCCTGACCGGAGAGATGAGGAGGATTCTGGGAGGGCACATGACATCACTCTTATCTCTATTAGTAAGAGACAGCCCTGACCGGAGAGATGAGGAGGATTCTGGGAGGGCACATGACATCACTCTTATCTCTATTAGTAAGAGACAGCCCTGACCGGAGAGATGAGGAGGATTCTGGGAGGGCACATGACATCACTCTTATCTCTATTAGTAAGAGACAGCCCTGACCGGAGAGATGAGGAGGATTCTGGGAGGGCACATGACATCACTCTTATCTCTATTAGTAAGAGACAGCCCTGACCGGAGAGATGAGGAGGATTCTGGGAGGGCACATGACATCACTCTTATCTCTATTAGTAAGAGACAGCCCTGACCGGAGAGATGAGGAGGATTCTGGGAGGGCACATGACATCACTCTTATCTCTATTAGTAAGAGACAGCCCTGACCGGAGAGATGAGGAGGATTCTGGGAGGTCACATGACATCCCTCTTATCTCTATTAATAAAACACAGACCTGACCGGAGAGGGGAGGAGGATTCTGAGAGGTCACATGACATCACTCTTATCTCTATTAGTAAGAGACAGACCTGACCGGAGAGATGAGGAGGATTCTGGGAGGTCACATGACATCACTCTTATCTCTATTAATAAGACACAGACCTGACTGGAGAGGTGAGGAGGATTCTGGGAGGTCACATGACATCACTCTTATCTCTATTAATAAAACACAGACCTGACCGGAGAGGTGAGGAGGATTCTGGGAGGTCACATGACATCACTCTCTTCTCCTATGTGTCTTCTCCGATGTAGAAGTTTGCGGTGGTGAAGATGGCCTCTATTGAGTGTCTCTTACAAGACTTGTATCCGGCTATGTCAGGAAAATGGAGCAGGAGCTCGAGTTCTGTCATAGACTCACCACCGTCCTCCCTGACGCTGGAGAAAAACCATGACAAGAAGATCCTAGAAGTCATCCAGAAGATGATTGAGCTGCTGACAGGAGAGGTGAGCGGTGCCGGGAATTCTGGGACATGATCCAGGAACAAACAAGTGATGTGTCTGGAGGGTGACTGTATCATTGTGTGTGTCAGGTTCTACAGACCTGACCGGAGAGATGAGGAGGATTCTGGGAGGTCACATGACATCACTCTTATCTCTATTAATAAGACACAGACCTGACTGGAGAGGTGAGGAGGATTCTGGGAGGTCACATGACATCACTCTTATCTCTATTAATAAAACACAGACCTGACCGGAGAGGTGAGGAGGATTCTGGGAGGTCACATGACATCACTCTCTTCTCCTATGTGTCTTCTCCGATGTAGAAGTTTGCGGTGGTGAAGATGGCCTCTATTGAGTGTCTCTTACAAGACTTGTATCCGGCTATGTCAGGAAAATGGAGCAGGAGCTCGAGTTCTGTCATAGACTCACCACCGTCCTCCCTGACGCTGGAGAAAAACCATGACAAGAAGATCCTAGAAGTCATCCAGAAGATGATTGAGCTGCTGACAGGAGAGGTGAGCGGTGCCGGGAATTCTGGGACATGATCCAGGAACAAACAAGTGATGTGTCTGGAGGGTGACTGTATCATTGTGTGTGTCAGGTTCCTATGAGGTGTCGGGATGTCTCCTTGAAGGAATATTTAGAAGGACACAAGGACGCCATGATGGAGAACCAGCCGTCCCTCACATCACCAGGTATGGTATAATTTATCTTTTGGTACAGTGGTCACATTGTATGGAGTTCATGGCTCAGTGTCCTTCATTTGATTTCTGTCGCGTCCATAAAGTTTGTTCTTGTTCAATGTCAAGGAGAAGTTCTAAACCGACGTTTACTTCTGTTTAACAGGTGTATCCGAAAATGCCCAGACGATGGAGGCGTACGGTGCTATCAAAGAGGAGCTGGAGTCCTTGGAGGAAGAAGGAGGCGTGGACTATCTGAAGGTCAGGATTGAGGAAGAAGGTCCCTTGGATGGAGACCTTGAAAATTATGGAACTCTACCATCATCTCCACACTCAGACGTCTGTGAAGCTCGGAGACCTTCACCGTTGACTCACAATACAGAGGAGATGGACAAGTCTACTCTTGGGAGAAACCATTATTCTTTCCACGTTGAAGAGACATTCTTTTCAGACGATGAAGATCCTTTGGAAGAGAGGTCTCAAACTGACAAAGATGGAAGTATACTGGAAGGAACCGGAGATGGACCTGGGTATGGAGATGAAGTTAGACCTGGGAATGGAGATGGACCTGGGAATGGAGATGGACCTGGGTATGAAGATGGATCTGGGAATGAAGATGGACCTTGGATTGGAGATGGACCTGGGAATGGAGATGGATCTTGGATTGGAGATGGATCTTGGATTGGAGATGGACCTGGGAATGGAGATGGACCTGGGTATGGAGATGGACCTGGGAATGGAGATGGACCTGGGAATGGAGATGGACCTGGGAATGGAATAACTCAACCAGCCAATCCATTACAGAACTCAGAGGGAATGGCGTATGGCTTTGACGGGCCTCATTCTCTGGCCTGTTTTCCACGCGGGAGGATTTTGGGCAACAAAGAGCACCTGGTGACCCATCAACAAGTCCATACGAGGCCCAAACCGTACACCTGCTCAGAGTGCAAGATGTCCTTTAGGTTACAGCCGCTGCTTGTAGAGCACCAGCGCACTCACGTTGAGGAAAAGGCCTTCACGTGGAAGGAGAGCGGGAAACGTTTTGACCAAAGGTCCACCCCCATGAAACACTTCACATCTTGCTCTGGGGAGAAAGGGTATTCGTGTCTGGAGAGTGGGATGGATTTTAGCAGCTCCAGCCTTGTCACCCAGCACAGTGTCCACACAGAGAAAGAGCCCCGTGTGCATATCGAGAAGCCCTACACCTGCTCCCAGTGTGGGAAGTGTTTTACCCGAAAGTCGCTTCTGCTCTCTCACCGGAGAATCCATTCCACGGAACAGCTCTACTCCAGTAGCAAATCCATTAGCCAAAATCCTTTGCCTATCAGCCACCAGGGACCTCACCCCGGTGTAAAACCCTATTGTTGTTCAGAGTGCGGGAAGGGTTTTTCTGACATCAGCCACCTGACCGTTCACAAGAGAATCCACACAGGGGAGAAGCCATACACCTGTTCGGAGTGCGGGAAGTCCTTTACCCAGAAGTCATTGCTGATCAGCCACCTGAGAACTCATACCGGAGTGAAACCCTATTCTTGTTCGGAGTGCGGGAAGTGCTATTCCCAAAGTGGACACCTGACTGTTCACAAGAGAGTCCATTCTGGAGAGAAGCCGCACACCTGCTTGGAGTGCGGAAAATCGTTTTATCAGAGGTCACTCCTGACCTACCACCAGCGGATTCACACCGGGGAGCGGCCGTACGCCTGTCCGGAGTGCGGGAAAAGTTTCACCCATCGAGCGAACCTAGCCGTGCACCAGAGGATCCATCTGGGAGAAAAACCATTTTCGTGTGCAGAGTGCGGGAAATCCTTTATTAATAAGTGGGGGCTGATCAGCCACCGGAGAACTCATACCGGGGAACGGCCTTACTCGTGCCCCGAGTGCGGAAAGTGCTTTTCCCGTAGCCCTAACCTGCTTCGACACCGGAGGGTCCACTGGTCAGGCAGCTCATTTGTCCATTAAGAGACCTGGTCCAACTGAAACACATGAACTATGGCGACAGTTTTACATCTGTGACTGTCCATCCAGTCCTGAGATTAACACAGTCCTGTCAGCAGAGCTGGGTTGAGGATCTTTCTCTTCCCTGCTGCAGTTAAGCAATACAGAGGGGTCACCTCCTCCACTCCTTGCCAGCGAAGGAGCCAGCAGTATACAGAGTGACCGAGACGTGAGATCATCGGTCTTCTGCTTCTCCTTTCACTGTCCAATCACAGGCTGGGGGGGAGGAGGGACCCGCCTTGGGAGACCTGTTACTGAACCGCAACAGAAAAGAATCAGCTCTCCTGCCCTGCTAGACAAGGCTGTGCTGTGGCAGAGCTGTGTAAATCTCAGTACTGGATGGAGTCCAGCTTTAGTGTCTGCCTTGCCTGGAGTTGTGCTTTATAGTGGCAGTCATTGTGAACAATATTTTAATAAAGTTTTTAGTTCATTTTCAACCTTCGTTGCTTATCTGTACTTCCTGATCTGCTGCCCCCCCCCCAGTGATGGCTGCCTGGTGTTCCTCAGGGCCGGTTACCCCAATAGTGGACAATGCCCGGGAACCCCCAGAGTGACACCCGCGCCCTGGCAAGGCATGCTAAATTTGCATATGCCCTCCCATGAGCCGGCCCACTGTGTGCATCATGGCTGGGGACTCTGAGAGAGGAGTACTGAGACCGGGTGCTGTGATGTTGTCAGGAAGCTATGTACCGCCCACTGCTGGCCCCTCCCACTGGAGATGATCTGCCTGCATTGCATAGATAAGATGACTCTGAATGACAGAATGCTGAGCAGCGGGAATCAGCCTAGGAGAAGGCGTGGCCAGCACAAGAAGCCAATCAGCGTTGCCTCGGTGATCAAGGGGCATGCTAAAAAACAAAAAATGATTGTAAGGGCCCTTCCAGGGTTCTTGTTTGGGGCTGAGGCACCCCCTCAGCCTCCTGGAATACTCACACCAGGCATCCTGAGGGGTTCAGGGGCAATGTACTGAAAATGTGCCAGCTGCCAGGACCAGGAAGATACAGCCGTCTCCCAATGACCATAGAGAGGAGGGCACGGGCCCTGGTGCGCAACACCGCTGGGTGCGTGTTTATTGAGCATAACCCAACAAATTAGGAAAGAGGGGACTGAAACAAAAAATAAAACAGAGGGCTGAAGTTCCTCCCTAAATAAGATGCAGATGATAAGTCTTGGGACTCCCACATCAGTGCTCCATTGCAATGTTTAAATTACACCTGCAGTTCCTACATTTAGACACCAGAGGGCGCTCGAGTCCACTTTGAAATCCCCATAGAAGAACAGCGCGCAGTTCACAGATTCCGCCACAAGGTGGCAGCCCCGAACAGGAACAGACGCCAGTGGAACGCAAAACCCGGAAGTCTTCCAAACAGGAAGCGTTCCATGAAGTGGGCGGTGCTCATTTTTTAGATTTGGGACACTGGCTGGTTTATGGTGGTAAATGGACTGTTTCTGTGATGTGTTTTGTGGATTGTAATTGCTTTTTATCATTATTTCCCTCCAGGGTCATTCTATCATGTGCAGAGGATTCTTATTATTATTTTTATACTCAAATAAAGAAATGTTTCTTTGAACGCATGAGCTGACAGGACCCGGAATCTCCGAGACGCGCTGACTGACCCAAGAAGATGGACCCGAAGGATGTGACCGGGAGGTTATTGAAGCTCACGTTAGAGATCATCTACCTGTTGACCGGAGAGGTGAGGAGGATTCTGGGAGGTCACATGACATCACTCTTATCTCTATTAATAAAACACAGACCTGACTGGAGAGGTGAGGAGGATTCTGGGAGGTCACATGACATCACTCTTATCCCTATTAATAACACACAGACCTGACCGGAGAGGTGAGGAGGATTCTGGGAGGTCACATGACATCACTCTTATCCCTATTAATAACACACAGACCTGACCGGAGAGGTGAGGAGGATTCTGGGAGGTCACATGACATCACTCTTATCCCTATTAATAACACACAGACCTGACCGGAGAGGTGAGGAGGATTCTGGGAGGTCACATGACATCACTCTTATCCCTATTAATAACACACAGACCTGACCGGAGAGGTGAGGAGGATTCTGGGAGGTCACATGACATCACTCTTATCTCTATTAATAAAACACAGACCTGACCGGAGGGGTGAGGAGGATTCTGGGAGGTCACATGACATCACTCTTATCCCTGTTAATAACACACAGACCTGACCAGAGAGGTGAGGAGGATTCTGGGAGGTCACATGACTTCACTCTTATCTCTATTAGGTTTATGTACCTGAAACCGCCTCCAGTGATCCCAACAGGAGCTGTCACCATTTCTCAGGTGGATGGAGGAACATCCAGAACCCAATCAAGGAGACTTCACCTCCCTCTGTAAAGAAAAACCATGACAAGAAGATTCTAGAAGTCACCCAGAAGATGATTGATCTGCTGACAGGAGAGGTGAGCGGTGCCGGGAATTCTGGGACATGATCCAGGAACAGACAAGGGATGTGTCTGGGTGGTGACTGTATCATTGTGTGTGTCAGGTTCCTATAAGGTGTCAGGATGTCTCTGTCTATCTCTCCATGGAGGAGTGGGAGTATCTAGAAGGACACCGGGATCTCTACAAGGACGTGGTGATGGAGAATGAGCCGCCCCTCACATCACCGGGTATAAAATATTTGTATTATCTGTATATGGGAAGGGAACGTTGGGCTGTAGATGGATCAGGTCAATGGACTTGATGACTTTGATCTCACCATCTTCTCAGATCCCACCAACTTTGGATGAAGCTTTTGCATCACTATAAAGTGGAGTCATTATTTTTTGTTCATTTCTAGTCCTATGGTTTTCTCTCAGAACCACAAGAGCTTACAACCGTCAGCCGGCCTAGGCCAGTGATGGTCAACATGCAAGCTGTGGTCTCTGACATCACTTAGGTGGGCACACATAATATTCAGCAGATGTAATCATACAGAAGACTGTCAGAGACTGCAGACTTACTACAGGATATGGATAGAGAGTGCTGGCATACCACAGGGGATGGTCGGAGACTGTGGACATACTGCAGGAGATGGTCAGAGACTGCATACATAATACAGGAGATGGTCAGAGAGTGCTGACATACTACAGGGGATGGTCGGAGACTGTGGACATACTCCAGGAGATGGTCAGAGACTGCATATATAATACAGGAGATGGTCAGAGAGTGCTGACATACTACTGGGGATGGTCGGAGACTGTGGACATACTGCAGGAGATGGTCAGAGACTCCAGACATGTCACCTAAGATCTAGAAATCAAAGCTATTACCTGCGGAAATCAGTGGCTTCCACACTTTCTACTGACTGTTGGTTTCCAATGGACTCATAACAAGTGCCAAAGCGCCACTTGTTCTCCACAAGAATATCTGTGCACACGAGGTATAGACATAATCCAATAGGCAGTGCAGCCATCATCACTGCTGTACCCGAACTGGATTGGGTTCAACCAAACACACCTCCACCTTCATTGACCTTCTATTGCCCGATTATTGGTCTGCAGACCATGTTTGTGTGATGAGCTATTGAGTTACATTGATGGGAGCAAATAGCAGAGTTTCTCTTAGGCCCCCAGTGGCCATTCTGTGGCCCTTTGGCACTTGTTATGAGTCCATTGGAAACCAACAGTCAGTAGAAAGTAGGGGACATGGTAGAAGTCCATGGTGTCCTCCCGAGAGATTCTGAGGAGACTTGTAATCCAAACCTATGTATATCTTAGAGGTATCTGAAGGAGTTGAGGTTCTACAGGCCCGGGGAACCTTCAAAGAAGAGTTGGACTCAAAGGACGGAGGTGTTAATATTGAAGTCTACTGTATGGAGAAGAACATCAAGGAAGAAGGTCTCTCGGGAGGACACCATGGACTTCTACCATCTCCTCAGAGTAGGAAGTCCATGGTGTCCTCCCGAGAGATTCTGAGGAGACTTGTAAGCCACACTTATGTATATGTTACAGAGTTATCTGAAGGACTTGAGGTTCTACAGGCCCGGGGAACCTTCAAAGAAGAGTTGGACTCTTTGGAGGCGGGAGGTGCTAATATTGAAGTCTACTGTATGGAGGAGGACATCAAGGAAGGTCTCTCAGGAGGACACTATGGACTTCTACCATCTCCTCAGAGTAGGAAGTCCATGGTGTCCTTCGAGAGATTCTGAGCAGACTTGTAATTCAAACTTATGTATATCTTACAGAGATAGCTGAAGGGGTTGAGGTTCTACCGGACCGTGGAACCTTCAAAGAAGAGTTGGACTCTTTAGAGGACGGTGGTGTTCATATTGAAGTCTACTGTATGGAGGAGGACATCAAGGAAGAAGGTCTCTCGGGAGGACACCATGGATTTCTACCATCTCCTCAAAGTAGGAATGCCCCCGGGGCCGAGGTCCATACGCCGTTCCCTCACATCAGGGAGCAGTTGGCCAAGGATGCCCTTGACACGGACATTTTATCTTCTCCTACTGAGGCACAACTGTTGTCAGAGGATGAAGAGCATCCGAAACCAAAATCACCGGCCAAAGATGGAGGCGTGTGGGGAGGACATGGACATTCCTATAAACTGTGTGGGAATGGAACCAAAAGAATGATTCAGGCGGCCTGTCCGTCACCTCACAGGAGGAACATCCCCGGTATAGAGAGACTTGTGCCGTCTACTCACATCAAGGAGGAGCCAGAGAAGGCCGCGGTGGAGACTGACCATTTCTCGATCGTGTTTTCTGGAGCTGGAGGTCCTCTGGAGCGAAAAACGCATGTGGTCTCCCATGCCGGACACAGGAGTGTTCATAATGGACCAGGAAGTCCCTATGTAATGTGTGGGAATGGAACCAAAAGAGTAACTCAACCGGTGTGTCCGCCTCGGCCCCCGACACAAAGCTTGGAGACCTACAGCTGCGACGGGTGTGAGAGTGTCTTCACCAGCAGCTCCGACTTCCTCAAGCACCGGCTGATGTACAAGGGGCCCCATTCTCTGTCCTGCTCCGACTGCGGCAAGTTCTTCAGCAAGCAGAGGAACCTGGTGAGGCATCAGCGCATCCACCGGAGCCTCAAAGCGTACACGTGCCCCGAGTGCGACAAGTCTTTCCAGCAGAAGTCCACGCTGGTGGTCCACCTGCGCATCCACACCGGGGAGAAGCCGTTCCCCTGCAAGGACTGCGGCAAGTGTTTCGCCCAGAAGTCGTCGCTCATGAAACATCTGCAGTCCCACACCGGGGAGAAGCCCTACTCCTGCTCGGAGTGCGGGAGGTCCTTTGGCCGGAAGTCCATGGTGGTAAGCCACCAGCGGACTCACACCGGGGAGCGGCCTTACGCCTGCGCCGTGTGCGGGAAGTGTTTTTCCAGCAGCACAAATCGCCTTTCCCACCAGAGGATCCATTCGGGGGAGAAGCCGTACGCGTGTTCCGAGTGCGGGAAGTCCTTTTCCCTAAAGTCGTCCCTGACCAGCCACCAGCGGACACATACCGGAGAGCGGCCTTATGTTTGTTCTGAGTGTGGGAAAAGCTTTACCCGCAGTTATCATCTTCTCCAGCACCAGAAGATCCACTCGGCACAGATTTCGATCACCATCTGAGAAACCCGCTGCAAGTTTTTGGGTTTTTTTCCCACTTCAACTGTTTCTTGTCTCCTTTTAAAATCAGACAAT